AACATGTAAAGTGTTGGTCCCATGTTTCATGAGCTGAAATAAAATATCCCAGAAATGTTCCATAAGAACAAAACACTTATTTCTCAAAAATGTGGTGCACAAATTTGTTTACATCCCTGTTAGTGACCATTTCTCCTTTGCCAAGATAATCCATCCACCTGACAGGTGTGGCATATCAAGAAGCTGATTAAACAGCATTATACAGGTGCTTCTTGTGCTGGGGACAAAACAAATACACACTAAAATGTGCAGTTTTGTCACACAACACAATGCCACAGATGTCTCAGGTTTTGAGGGAGCATGCAATTGACATGCTGACTGCAGGAATGTCCACCAGAGTATTGAATGTTCATTTCTCTACCATAAGCTGCCTCCGTCGTTTTAGAGAATTTGGCAGTGTGTCCAACCGGCCTCACAACCACAGACCACATTTTTACATTACATTTTAGTCATTTAGCAGACACTCTTATCCAGAGCGACTTACAGGAGCAATTAGGGTTAAGTGCCTTGCTCAAGGTCTGTATAATGAGGTCTGTAGTCTCATTCTGATTGGCTGGGCCTGTCTCCCCAGTGGCTGGGCCTATGCTCTCCCACCACCAGCTTATAGACTACGAGACTACAGACCTCATTATACAGACCATAGTTTACATTACCAGACTACAGACCAAGATGAGACTACCCACAACACTGTCTAGATTCTAGACCACATGAGATGTCACTGTAGCAAACACTAGGGAACTCCAGCTTGAGCCCTGTCAGCGTCTAGGTAAACTGCCAACGTCTACCAGGCATTTCTACACAGTGACAATCTGCCCAGACCAGCAGAGCTGTCACAGAGTGCCACTCTAAACACTGACTCCAGACCTGTAGCTAGAGAGGATTTAATGGCGGTAGAAACTGCAGAGCAGTACATCAGACCACATGGCAACTTCAGGACAACAATACGGTGGCCCAGATTAGGCTACATGGTAAAAGAAAGGGGTGGAGAAAGAGTGAGACACACAGACAGAGACAGAGACAGAGACAGACAGAGAGAGAGAGAGAGAGAGAGACAGACAGAGAGAGATCTGCAGCTCAGAGAGAAGACGCAGTCGTGTGTGTGCGTGTGAGATAGGGAGAGAGAGCAACAGACGAGAGCGATAAAAAGAGAGTGAGAGCGCTAGCTTCAGCAATAACCTGTCACTCAAATGTGGAGAGTGTGAGAAGGAAACTCGTTCTGTTCCTCTGAAACAAAGCAGCACTGGTGTTTAGTTTTAAGAGGAGACAGGGTTCACTAGTTCTGAGAGACAATCAGGGTGACACACACTTACTCTGACAGCACTGTCTGCCAGACAGAAAGCGCTGAACTCAAGGATCACATTCTTGGTATGCAAAGCATGCGCAAATACAGTCACACACACAGATAGACAGAAACAAACACACAGAGAAAACCATTCTGTGACCGAAGAACTTGAGCACGCACAACCATACATACACACCTGTTTCTCTGAGAGCTGTGTCTCACTCTACTGACTAAACCCATGAGGCCTCATCCCTACACCACAGGGAGGCCTCGCAAGCCTATGGGTGTGCGAGATAACGTGTATGTGTGACTGACACCGCAGCCCTGGCCGATAACATGGGAACTTGGATCACTTCAAAAGCGACCCAGGTGTGAGTATGTGTGTCTGCGTAGATGGCCTGGCAGTGGCAACAGCACATTTCATTCTTTTAGCACTGCTATAATTAAGAAACTTCCAGGAGCCTGGCTGGGTGGCATACCCAAGTGGTGTATGTGTGTGTGTGTGTGTGTGTCTGGGCGCAGCAACAGGCAGCATTTCACTGTGACAGGCCGACACACAAATTACCGCCTGCGCACTGCCTTTCCCAAGACCACAGGCAGTGCCACAGATAACACAGTCAGAGAGTGAGAATTACCCCTCTGACATTTTGTACTGTACACTGTATGGGCATAGGCTCATCACTATGGAGACACATACAGTAGCTATGAAGATATGCGTGCTGTGAACACACTCTCACACCTTAGTACATAGAGTACACCTTGTATGTACATACATCACATATACCCACAGTGTATGTAGTAGACACACACATACACACACCTAGACTACTCCATCCTCCTCCTCACTACTACAACAACAATCTTTCCCACACATTCAGGTTGAACAGAGCTGAAAAGCCTCCATGTCACTCATAAATACTTAGATATGAATCACAGAGCCATATAGCGATAAATCCTGGGGACTACTTTGTACTCAGCATCGTTATGGTGAGCAATTATAGACATTCTATTCCATTAATTTCAGGTCAGGCAGGGCTGGATGGCTTACAGTACACAGATCTAGGATCAGATGAGAGAATATGACTGAGTATGAAGGGGTAATGTGATATATGATTATAGAATGAGGTGGGTTATTACAGGGGATCAGATTTCCCATAGATTCAGGTGCAATTACGGCAGATGGCAACCACAGGGGTTTTATCTTCTAATCAAAGGAGCACAGCAACCAAGACGCCTCTGGGGATTTGTGTGTGTGTGTGTGAGCGTGAGTCTAGCACACAACCAAAAGTGTGAAGCAAAGAAACCGGGACCTACTTTGCTGTCGACTCTTCGTCATACTTGCTCTTCAGTTCCAAAACCTCTGCCTGAGTTGCTTCAAGTGCTGAAAAAACAAATCAAGCATTTTGAATGAAGACCAGTAGTAGTTGGATGGAAGAAGTACAATTGCTAGGCACTAACATACTGCCCTCTATAGATTCCTGTAAGGACTGAGTAAGGCCTTTCTGCATTCAATTACATGAGGTGAGGCTTCTAGAAAAGCCCCATCTTAGGTTTCACAACCTAAGACAACTTTGGTAACTTTAATTTACAGTCCTATTACAGCTGCTATTTTCAAATAAATGACATGCTAGCAGTTGATACTTTTCTGGTAGACCTACGTTTTCTAAAATACCCAATAAAATTGATAATACTAGGGTTAGTGGCTGGGCCTGGATAATACTAGGGTTAGTGGCTGGGCCTGGATAATACTAGAGTTAGTGGCTGGGCCTGGATAATACTAGAGTTAGTGGCTGGGCCTGGATAATACTAGAGTTAGTGGCTGGGCCTGGATAATACTAGAGTTAGTGGCTGGGCCTGGATAATACTAGAGTTAGTGGCTGGGCCTGGATAATACTAGAGTTAGTGGCTGGGCCTGGATAATACTAGAGTTAGTGGCTGGGTCTGGATAATACTAGAGTTAGTGGCTGGGTCTGGATAATAATAGAGTTAGTGGCTGGGCCTGGATAATACTAGAGTTAGTGGCTGGGTCTGGATAACACTAGAGTTAGTGGCTGGACCTGGATAACACTAGAGTTAGTGGCTGGGTCTGGATAATACTAGAGTCAGTGGCTGGGCCTGGATAACACTAGAGTTAGTGGCTGGACCTGGATAACACTAGAGTTAGTGGCTGGACCTGGATAATACTAGAGTTAGTGGCTGGGCCTGGATAATACTAGAGTTAGTGGCTGGACCTGGATAACACTAGAGTTAGTGGCTGGACCTGGATAACACTAGAGTTAGTGGCTGGGCCTGGATAATACTAGAGTTAGTGGCTGGGCCTGGATAACACTAGAGTTAGTGGCTGGGTCTGGATAATACTAGAGTTAGTGGCTGGGCCTGGATAACACTAGAGTTAGTGGCTGGGTCTGGACTCTGGAGCTGAGACAGGGGACTGTCGGTTCTAGAGGAGCAAGCATGGGGCAAGCAACACACACGGTGACAGGGCTGAATTTGTCAACACACCACACACAACACAGACAGACAGACAGACAGGACAGACAGACAGACAGACAGACAGACAGGACAGACAGACAGACAGACAGACAGACAGACAGACAGACAGACAGAGACAGACAGACAGACAGACAGACAAGACAGACAGACAGACAGACAGACAGACAGGACAGACAGACAGACAGACAGACAGACCAGAAAGACAGACAGACAGACAGACAGACAGACAGACAGACAGACAGACAGACAGGACAGACAGACAGACAGACAGACAGACAGACAGAAGACAGACAGACGACAGACAGACAGAAGACAGACAGACAGACAGACAGACAGACAGACAGACAGACAGACAGACAGACAGACAGACAGACAGACAGACAGACAGACAGACAGACAGACCAGATCAGACAGACAGACAGACAGAACAGACAGACAGACAGACAGACAGACAGACAGACAGACAGACAGACAGACAGACAGAACAGACAGACAGACAGACAGACAGACAGACAGACAGACAGACAGACAGACAGACAGACAGACAGACAGACAGACAGACAGACAGACAGACAGACAGACAGACAGACAGACAGACAGACAGACAGACAGACAGACAGACAGACAGACAGACAGACAGACAGACAGACAGACGACAGACAGACAGACAGACAGACAGACAGACAGACAGACAGACAGACAGACAGACAGACAGACAGAAGACAGACAGACAGACAGACAGACAGACAGACAGACAGACAGACAGACAGACAGACAGACAGACAGACAGACAGACAGACAGACAGACAGACAGACAAAAGACAGACAGACAGACAGACAGACAGACAGACAGACAGACAGACAGACAGACAGACAGACAGACAGACAGACAGACAGACAGACAGACAGACAGACAGACAGACAGACAGACAGACAGACAGACAGACAGACAGACAGACAGACAGAGAGAGAGAGAGAGAGAGAGAGAGAGAGAGAGAGAGAGAGAGAGAGAGAGAGAGAGAGAGAGAGAGAGAAATCTAATATCTGACACTGCATTCTGGGTCAACATAAAGACATACTGCCAGCCGAGGAGTGTGTTGACACCAAGCTAGCCTTAGCTTACTGTGTGATGTTGGAGGATTTATGCAAAGGTTTGTGGAAGCATACCTGTGAAACTCAAGTTAGGATTGGGCCTGTGGGACTATAACTGGGTGTAGAAGGTTAGCTACTGCTTACCTGTCTGTAGCGACTGGGCCTTACGGTCTGCCTCCTCCAGCTTTGACACCACAGACTCCTGGTTCTCCTGTTGTTGACTGTGTGGACAGAGGGAGAGATACAAGTTAGCTTAGCATCACCTAAGTAAGAAACAACATTGTATCTAATGACCATTTCAAGAGGCTAATGTAGCATCACAGGGGTCAATTTAGCCTACTAGCATCACAACAAAAAAAGAGTGAACAGGTTAAAAAGTATCAACTTTAAAGATAAAAAAAAAGGCTAGGCCTATAGCAGGATAGTTGCTAACCACTAGCCTAGCATCAAGAGGCTACAGGTAAGCTAAGAGGTATATCATCACTCAAAGTGAAGGGGCCAATTCAGCCTATCAGCACTTTAGAAAAAATAAGACAGGTTCCCATAGCACCCGCTCAAACGAACGAGCACTCGCTCTGATTCCAGTTGAAGTGGTAGAGTGCAAGTGGAGAGGACAGTTAAGTGTTGTATTTTTTGCCAACAGCAGCTAGGCTGTTCTGCTCTGTCAAGTCTGTCGGGGGGTTATTATTATCAATACTTAAACACCTGGGCCGCCCATAGGGCCTCTCATCATGCCACCAGCCCTCCTGCACTGGCAGACGACTCATCAATTTACCTCAGCGCTAAAGAGGAGGGGAACATTCCAAACCCTGAAGAATGAATGTCAACTCCTGACTGGCTAGCTATTACTGAGGACAAGATGAGAGGGGTCGAGCCCGTTTCTCCTTGGGAGTTGGTTCATTATAAGGACAAACTGTCGATCTCCAAAGGGAAAGACTATAAAGGTTGGGTGTAGTTAGTTATCATCCATGATATCACTGTTTATGTGACGTATGGGTAGTCGCCAGATTTGGAAATGATAATGAAGACATAAGGTTTACAACCTGGGCTGTCCAGTTTCTGTCTGTATTTCGTTTTCATAGAGTGTGAGATATCACCAGATATCACATATCCTCGACCTTGCCAGAGTGTGTGGCCTAAATGGAGTTGTGGTGAGATGCTGGCTCATTGGTCAAAATCAGCGCACAAAGTCAACCAATCAGAATTGGTCTACGGGGATCCAGAGGCTATCTCCACAACACCAAGAATCACCACTCACCAGAGAATCTCTCAACCTCAAATGTATTCAAAAACGAGGAGGTGCCTCAGCCAAAGCTGCAGTAAGGGAAACAAACCTCACTGACACATTGGTTCTGACTGCCCTGCAGTTCCTCCCTCTGTGGATGACTGCACCACTGTTGTGCCTCTACTCATCCCCATGTCACTGTACTGTACCTCTGCTCTCTTCCTCTCCCTCCCCCTCTCTTTTCCTACCAGGTGCTATTTTTGGGTGACCAGGAAACATTAATATAATTCAAGGTAGCAGAATGGGGTCTATGGTGGCGTCTTTGTAACAAGGGTGAGAGCGGTGACAATAGGTTACAATGGGGCCGTATTGTTGCCCTCTGACATAACAGAGCCGAACTGTGTCCCTGTCCTGTGAGTGCCAGTCTGGCAGCAGTGATGATCAGGAGGCTCAGTGCGGTATTACCATCCATGCCGGGGGGTTTAGGAGTAAACAAACAGCGGTGAATTAAAAGGTATTACGGTGCAATGGGATTACAGTTTGGGTTGGTTGGTCCCAATAAAAGCCTTGTGTAACGGCCGCATATGCCTCCATCAGGACACACTGATGGGATCATATAATATTGTGTGACAGGGGGTTGAGGGAGAGCTGGTTCGAGTTCAAATTGAGATATCTCACATTCAGTTACAGTATGATTAGGAGCAAGTTCAATAGGAATACGGTGGGGTAAAACAATGCAAAAAACGAATGAGTGCCGGTTATCTCCCGTTCCTGATTCAATACTTGCTCAGCTCAAGTGCTGAGTGAAAGTGTAAATGACAACGTGATAGGGAGTCCGTTTCAGTGCCCTTCACAACAACCCTGATGTATCTGATAAACTACGGCCAAGCCTCACTGGAAGGTTAACTAAACTTGGTCACCCACTTATCTACAATGCAAACATGTATGAAACTGACCATCGTTAAGGCCAGACAGACTGAGCGGACAATTTATTAAGAGAATAATTGGTTCGCCATGGAAGTATGGAAATATGTAACTAAATACTGTTACAGTACAATATCAGATAATAGTTCAGACAACAGCTATAAGGGTATTCAGTCTGGGCCTAACCATCGCTCATACTCAGACACAAGCTGCAGCCAGTAGTCGCTGCCCATTGGCAAACACTAGCTAGCCTATCCTCCACAGCTAGTCCGTACTAGCAGAGTAGTTTCAGGGCAGGGTATGGGCTACAGGGGGCGCTACTGCTTACCTCTCCTCCTCTGCATGGTCGTTGTGAAGCTGCCCCTCCTCTCCCTCTTTCTTCTCTTTCTCCTCTTCCTTTTCTCCCCCTCTCTTCTCCTCCTGGCCCAGCTCCTTGGCCTGTTTCTTCAGGGTCTCTTCATACTCCTCTATCTTCTCCTTAAGTGCTTTAATTGTGACCTCTGTGTGTGAGAGAGAGAGAGAGAGAGACAGAGAGAGAGAGAGACAGAGAGAGAGACAGAGAGAGAGACAGAGAGAGAGGGTGGGAGAGAGAAAACACAAACAGTCAGTAAGTGATAGGATAACAGGTAAGAAATAAACCAGAGTACCAACATGATATTAGGGACCAAGCCATAAGGCTCCTGCACATCATCCTGATGTGCTAAGTCTGGATTGTCAGTTACACTGACAGAGGCAGACGGATTCTCCAAGTAAGATGGAGTAGGAGGAACAGGGCTCCACTCCACTGTGTGCAGTGTGTGTATTGGCACAGCCCACTTGTATTACTGACTGAGAGCTCTCAGTTTTCCCCCCACTTCTTACTCGTCTTCTCTTCCTTTTTTTCTCTCGCTCACTCGCTGGTGCCCTCTCTCAATCTCTCTCTCTCTCTCCTCCTCCTCTGCGGTGATTTAAACTTCACTGTTTCAGCCCTGACACATAATCAATGGCGATGAGTCCCCTCTGAGCCCTTTTCCCCCTTAACTGTTAAATTGAACTTTAAACATTTAGGTTGCAGGGGATCAATGGCCTCGGCTGGCCGGGATGAGAGCGAGAGAGATGAAGGAAGAGAGGGAAGGAGGAGAGAGAATGAGAGAGAGGGGATTCTCCTCTCCTCCGCCGCTGAGGTAGGAGATCTGTAGCTTAGCCTGGTCATGGGGACCAAAGGGGGGGAGAGAAAAAGAGGAGCGAGCAGGAGAAGAAAAAATGAAATAAGAAAAAAATCTATGGCAAAATAAAATATTGCAGCTATTGAGCTGGGTCAATTAGCTCTTGGTGGGAGGGGAATTCCAAAGACAGAGAGGGCAGGCCCAACCAACCCTCCTCCTCCCTCTATCCCCTCTTCTCCTCCCCTTCTTTTCCCTGCCTTTCTGAAAAGAGAAAAAGCAGTGAAGGCTTTTGAGGCCTATACAATGGGGCTTCATCTGAAAAGACTGCCCAGGGGATACTTTCTCATAAAGAGGGCTATGGAGGAGGAGAGCCTTTATTTAAAAAATATCTATATTTCGGGGTTATGGAGGGACTTTGGGACGACTCCGCTGACCACTTACTTGATGTTAGTTGTTAGCTATTTTACAGCATTTGATGTAACTCCACGGACATCGGCTCTTGAAACGGTATCCGCATTACAGATGATATCTTCTTACAACTTTTAACATTGCGCATATACTTTTACTATACTTTCAACCAGACCGCTGAGGCGGCTAAGCATTGATGAATCTCCCAATGGGAGTCTTAGCCTAGCTCTCTGTGCTGGTGTAGTGGAAGCGTTTCAGTGGATGAGGTTGTGTTAGCACCCTGAGCTAATGCCTAGGGCTTTAGCTCAGCAAGCCAACAATTTATTGTGGCCCATCGGTTCAAACTCGGTCGATCACACTGGTCCAGGATAGGTTCAGAAAGAGTATGTGTCTCAGTCTCACCGTGGTTCTTGACCTCAGCGATCTCCTGGGTGTAGCCCTCCAGCGTCTCACGGAGCTTCTGGTTCTCCGTCTCGATGTCGTGCATCCTCTGGACCTTCAGCTGTAGCTGCTGGGCAGTGTCCAGGGCCGACACAGGGTCTGAGAGGAGGGGAGAGTAAAGGACACTACATGTTACTAATCACAATTTCTCAGACTGCCCATCTTAATCTTTTATTTTTATTGGCCAGTCTGAGATATGGCTTTTTCTTTGCAAATCTGCCTAGAAGGTCAGCATCCCGGAGTCGCCTCTTCACTGTTGACGTTGAACACTGGTGTTTTGCGGGTACTATTTAATGAAGCTGCCAGTTGAGGACCTGTGAGGCGCCTGTTTCTCAAACTAGACACTCTAATGTATTTGTCCTCTTGCTCAGTTGTGCGCTGGGGCCTCCCACGCCTCTTTCTATTCTGGTTAGAGCCAGTTTGCGCTGTTCTGTGAAGGGAGTAGTACACAGCGTTGTACGAGATCTTCAGTTTCTTGGCGATTTCTCACATAGAATAGCCTTCATTTCTCAGAACACGAATAGACTGACGATATTTGTTTCTAGCCATTTTGATCCTGTAATCGAACCCACAATTGCTGTTGCTCCATATACTCAACTAGTCTCAAGAAGGCCAGTTTTATTGCTTCTTTAATCAGCACAACAGTTTTCAGCCGTGCTAACATAATTGCAAAAGGGTTTTCTAATGATCAATTAGCCTTTTCAAATGATAAACTTGGATTAGCAAACACAACGTGCCATTGGAACACAGGACTGATGGTTGCTGATAATGGGCCTCTGTACGCCTATGTAGATATTCCATTAAAAATCAGCCGTTTCCAGCTACAATAGCCATTTACAACATTAACCATGTCTACACTGTATTTCTGATCAATTTGATGTTATTTTAATGGACAAAAACATTGCTTTTCTTTCGAAAACAAGGACATTTCTAAGCGACCCCAAACTTTTGAACAGTAGTGTATGTAGCAAGTGGTGTTACATGTTTTGAAGATCGGTTAATTGAGGAGATCACACCCATCCAGTCAGTCTCTAACCTCTACCCCTCACTCCATTCAAACATACTTCCATGCACTGCAACAGTAAGGTGTAGAGTGGGGTTTTGTGTCCCTGTGCCTGGTAGTGACTGAGTGGCCAGGGCGAGTCACGCGAGGCTGACTGATGTGTGTGTGTTGGGTGCCAGAGCAGCAGAGCTATGTATAGCTGCCCCCATTCGCACAGAGCAGAACTGGAGAGCTGAGACAGCACTGCTGTTGCCACCACACACACACAGCCCAGACAAAGGAGAGGAAGAGAGGCAAAGAGAGTAAGAGGGAGAGAAAAAGCAAAAGGGCATGAGAGAGAGAGAGGCAGGGAGAATGAATGAGAGAGGAAAGAGATAGTAAGAGGGGAGCGAGCTAGGTTTCTGGACAATGATGATTACTTTCTTATCTTACGGACTTGGACAGAGAAACCCATGGGAAAACAACACATTCCTGTAAACAGACTTGTACAGTATGTATCCAATAGTAGTACAGCATAGACACAACCCACAGTAGTGGAAACTGTAGATCTATTGATGTACAGTACATATTGAATAATTGAATTAATCAAAACAGTATCAAGGTCAGAGATTGTAATGATGGTAATGGGTAAGGGATGGATAGGGAGGAGTTGGGATTTGGAGACTGGCAGGGTGTTCTAACCCTGATTTCCCCCCCCCCCCTCCACGTTGGGCGCTGCCAGTCTTGCCAGTCCTGGCCTCATCAGTGCCCGGCATCGACACGGTCACTAATTGGCGTATGACTAATTATGCCCCAATTCCAGTTGATTTTCTTTAATGAGACAGCTGGGTTAATTATATAATCATATGATTACATTAGCCCCCCTGGCCCCGAGAGAGGGAGAGAGAGAGAATAGGAGGAGGAAGCTAGGGGGAAGGGGGAGGAAGAGGAGGGATATGAAAAGTGGTAGAGGGGGAAAGAACGAGGGAGATAAAAAGAGAAGGAGAGAGAAAGAGAGAGTTCACTGAGTATACAAAACATTAGGAACACCTGCTCTTTCCATGACATAGACTGACCAGGTGACTTCAGGTGAAAGCTACGATCCCTTATTGATGTCACTTGTTAAATCCACTTCAATCAGTGTAGATGAAGGGGAGGAGACAAGTTAAATAAATATTTTTAAGCCTTGAGACATGGATTGCGTATGTGTGCCATTCAGAGGGTGAATGGGCAAGACAAAAGATTTAAGTGCCTTTGAACGGGGTATGGTAGTAGGTGCCAGGCGCACCGGTTTGTGTCAAGAACTGAAACGCTGCTGGTTTCCCGTGTGTATCAAGAATGGTCCACCACCCAAAGGACATTACATTTACATTTTAGTCATTTAGCAGACGCTCTTATCCAGTGCATACATTATTTTTATTATTTTTGTTTTATTTTTATTATTTCATACTGGCCCCCTGTGGGAAACGAACCCACAACCCTGGCGTTGCAAACGCCATGCTCTACCAACTGAGCTACATCCCTGCCGGCCATTCCCTCCCCTACACTGGACGACGCTGGGCCAATTGTGCCATCCAGCCAACTTGACACAACTGTGGAACACTTGACACCTTGAGTCCATGCCCCGACGAATTGAGGCTGTTCTGTGGGCAAAAGGGGGTGCAACTCAATATTAGGAAGGTGTTCTTAATGATTTGTACACTCAGTGTACAAGAGTATAAGAGCATATTCAGAAATAGTCTGGAAACAGCAGAAGAGAGGGAGAGAGAAAGAGAGGGACGGGGAAGAGGTCTGATCTTTGAGATGAAAGACATCCAGCCTCCATGCTTCCATTCTCCTCTGTGTGCGGGAGCGCACACACACACACACACAAACACACACACCAGTGTGTTGTGAATCTGATACCCTCCCAGTAAACTAGTCCTTCTGCAACATGAAACAAGGCCCAAGTTATCTCCACAACGTCCTTGGAGGGAGAAGCAATACATTCTCCAACACCAGACAAGACGTTGAGGACACAACAGCATTATCAAAGGCCCATTATGTCAACAATGTTGTGCTGCGTTCTGACACCCTGCGTCATACACACACTGTTAATCTAATATTCTAAAACATCTAGCCATGGACAGCCTGTTCCCATGTTACGCTTCTCACAAATCACTATTTGATGGTGAAACACACATACACTTTTTTGCACCAACTCTCCTGCACTGATTCTATACACACACACACTGGACTCTACCCACACACTCCACATACTTACACTACTGTTCAAACGTTTGGGGTCACTTAGAAATGTCCTTGTTTTTGAAAGAAAAGCATTTTTTTTGTCCATTAAAATAACATCAAATTGATCAGAAATACAGTGTAGACATGGTTAATGTTGTAAATGGCTATTGTAGCTGGAAACGGCTGATTTTTAATGGAATATCTACATAGGCGTACAGAGGCCCATTATCAGCAACCATCAGTCCTGTGTTCCAATGGCACGTTGTGTTTGCTAATCCAAGTTTATCATTTGAAAAGGCTAATTGATCATTAGAAAACCCTTTTGCAATTATGTTAGCACAGCTGAAAACTGTTCTGCTGATTAAAGAAGCAATAAAACGGTCCTTCTTAAGACTAGTTGAGTATCTGGAGCATCAGTAATTGTGGGATCGATTACAGGATCAAAATGGCTAGAAACAAATATTGTCAGTCTATTCGTGTTCTGAGAAATGAAGGCTATTCCATGTGAGAAATCGCCAAGAAACTGAAGATCTTGTACAACGCTGTGTACTACTCCCTTCACAGAACAGCGCAAACTGGCTCTAACCAGAATAGAAAGAGGCGTGGGAGGCCCCAGCGCACAACTGAGCAAGAGGACAAATACATTAGTGTCTAGTTTGAGAAACAGACGCCTCACAGGTCCTCAACTGGCAGCTTCATTATATAGTACCCGCAAAACACCAGTCTCAACGTCAACAGTGAAGAGGCGACTCCGGGATGCTGACCTTCTAGGCAGATTTGCAAAGAAAAAGCCATATCTCAGACTGGCCAATAAAAAGAAAAGATTAAGATGGGCAAAAGAACACAGATACTGGACAGAGGAAGATCGGAAAAAAGTGTTATGGACAGACGAATCGAAGTTTGAGGTGTTCGGATCACAAAGAAGAACATTTGTGAGATGCAGACCAAATGAAAATATGCTGGAGGAGTGCTTGATGCCATCTGTCAAGCATGGTGGAGGCAATGTGATGGTCTGGGGGTGCTTTGGTGGTGGTAATGTGGGAGATTTGTACAGGGTAAAAGAGATCTTGAAGAAGGAAGGCTATCACTCCATTTTGGTGGCGGCGCTTGATTGGAGCCAATTTCCTCCTACAACAGGACAATGACCCAAAGCACAGCTCCAAACTATGCAATAACTATTTAGGGAAGAAGCAGTCAGCTGGTATTCTGTCTATAATGGAGTGGCCAGCACAGTCACCGGATCTCAACCCTATTGAGCTGTTGTGGGAGCAGCTTGACCGTATGGTACGTAAGAAGTGCCCATCAAGCCAATCCAACTTGTGGGAGGTGCTTCAGGAAGCATGGGGTGAAATCTCTTCAGATTTCTTCAACAAATAGACAACTAGAATGCCAAAAGGTCTGCAAGGCTGTAATTGCTGCAAATGGAGGATTTTCTGACAAAAGCAAAGTTTGAAGGACACAATTATTATTTATATTAAAAATCATTATTTCTAACCTTCTCAATGACTACATTTCCTATGCATTTTGCTATATTTTCTATTCAAACTCATTTCATGTATGTTTTCATGGAAAACATGGACATTTCTAAGTGACCCCAAACTTTTGAACGGTAGTGTACACCGACACCCCAATCCATAAACACACACACACACAAAACACAAGCAAACATGCATACTGACGCCACACACACACTGTCTACCATCTATCCTGTTGTCTAGTCACTTTACCCGTACCTACAGTTGAAGTCGGAAGTTTACATACACTATGGTTGGAGTCATTAAAACTCGTTTTTCAACCACTCCACACATTTCTTGTTAACAAACTATAGTTTTGGCAAGTCGATTAGGACATCTACTTTGTGCATGACAATACATTTTTCCAACAATTGTTTACAGACAGATTATTTCACTTATAATTCACTGTATCACAATTCCAGTGGGTCAGAAGTTTACATACACTAAGTTGACTGTGCCTTTAAACAGCTTGGAAAATTCCAGAAAATGATGTCATGGCTTTAGAAGCTTCTGATAGGCTAATTGACATCATTTGAGTCAATTGGAGGTGTACCTGTGGATGTATTTCAAGGCCTACCTTCAAACTCAGTGCCTCTTTGCTTGACATCATGAGAAAATAAAAATAAATCAGCCAAGAAAAAAGAAAAAAACATCCACAAGTCTGGTTCATCCTTGGGAGCAATTTCCAAATGCCTGAAGGTACCACGTTCATCTGTACAAACAATAGTACGCAAGTATAAACACCATGGGACCACGCAGCCGTCATACCGCTCAGGAAGGAGACACATTCTTTCTCCTAGAGATGAATGTACTTTGGTGCGAAAAGTGCAAATCAATCTCTGAACAACAGCAAAGGACCTTGTGAAGATTCTGGACGAAACAGGTACAAAAGTATCTATATCCACAGTAAAACGAGTCCTATATTGACATAACCTGAAAGGCCGCTCAGCAAGGAAGAAGCCACTGCTCCAAAACCGCCATAAAAAAGCCAGACTACGGTTTGCAACTGCACATGGGGACAAAGATCGTACTTTTTGGAGAAATGTCCTCTGGTCTGATGAAACAAAAATAGAACTGTTTGGCCATCGTTATGTTTGGAGGAAAAAGGGGGGCGCTTGCAAGCCGAAGAACACCATCCCAACCATGAAGCATGGGGGTGGCAGCATCATGCTGTGGGGGTGCTTTGCTGCAGGAGGGACTGGTGCACTTCATAAAATAGATGGCTTCATGAGGAAGGAAAATTATGTGGATATATTGAAGCAACATCTCAAGACATCAGTCAGGAAGTTAAAGCTTGGTCGCAAATGGGTCTTCCAAATGGACAATGACCCCAAGCATACTTCCAAAGTTGTGTCAAAATGGCTTAAGGACAACAAAGTCAAGGTGTCGGAGTGGCCATCACAAAGCCCTGACCTCAATCCTATTGAACATTTTTGGGCAGAACTGAAAAAGTTTGTGTGAGCAAGGAGGCCCACAAACCTGACTCAGTTACACCAGCTCTGTCAGGAGGAATAGGCCAAAATTCACCCAACTTATTGTGGGAAGCTTGTGGAAGGCTACCCGAAACGTTTGACCGAAGTTAAACAATTTAAAGGCAATGCTACCAAATACTAATTGAGCGTATGTAAACTTCTGACCCACTGGGAATGTGATGAAAGAAAGAAAAGCTGAAATAAAATCAAACATCATTCTCTCTACTATTATTCGGACATTTCACATTCTTAAAATAAAGTGGTGATCTAAGACAGGGAATTTTTACTAGGATTAAATGTCAGGAATTGTGAAATTGTATTTGGCTAAGGTGTATGTAAACTTCCAACTTCAACTGTATATGTACATACAGTATCTACCTCAATTACCTCGTACCCCTGCACATCGACTCGGTACTGTAACTCCCTGTATATAGCCATGTAAATTTTACTCGTTATTCACTGTGGATTTATTCCTCGTGTCACTATTTCTATTTTATTTGTATCTTTAACTCTGCATTGTTGGAAAAGGTCCCTTAAGTAAGCATTTCACTGTTAGTCAAACCTGTTGACAAATACATTATACATTTTTGGGAAAATGTACTTTAATTTCTTGTCATAAAAAATTACTTTAGACCAACATACTTGAAGGGTTATAATGGAACTCATCTTTTAGTCCCATTAAAAAAAAAAGATATTAGTTAGGATGATACACTCTTGTTATGTGTGCTTTGAATACCCCATATGATTAAGAAAACTGACAGGACAGAAGGTCATACTGTCACATTTGGGTGATAATGAGTGCTGTCACAGTACTGGGCTGTACAACTCATCTGTCGGCCTAGTCCCAGTGCCTACCACTCTACTGCTGCTCTCAACAGAACAGACGGACGGACTACAGAGTGTGTCACATGGAATCTCTCTCTCCATGTCCTCCCCGGAACTTATAACCAGGAGATTGTCCCTTCACTTGACAGTCAGTGGCACCAGCACTGTCTGGATGGGCATGTGTGTGTGTGTGTGTTCTGAGCAGAAGGAGTGAGACAGTACCAACTGCTCAGTGCAATCACTCTAGCCTGCTACAGAACACTGGGCTGTTTGTGAGAACAGTGTGAATATTTCCAAAGGTTGCATGAGAAGGCTAGAGGGCAGACGGGTGGAGACACCTGTCAACTTTGACATTCTATTGCCAAGCGTCATCAGGATGAGAGTGAGGTAAGGTGTGTGCATTTTCCTTGGTGTTCAACAGAGCTCAAGGGGTGGTCACACACTGACGCTAGGTCTGTGTGATCACAAACACATCTATGAGATAATCAGTGGAGTAGTGATCTCTCATCCTCAGACATGGAGACAAGACTGGACAGGCTGCAGATTACACTGATAACATACAGACATTCCTAGATTTTCCCCACACAGGCAGACAGACACACACACTCAGACACACACACACTTGGAACACCAACTGACGTAAGGGAGCCAAGGCAAAGAGGTCTCTAGGTGCTGCTTCTCTGTCTTGGCAGGCTTTGAGCTCTCTCTGTGTGTGTGTGTGTGTGTGTGTGTGTGTGTGTGTGTGTGTGTTTACCTAGGCAAGGCTGGAATCTCCAAAACACAAAAGCAGTAATTTACGCATGTACTACGTGGTTCCCCAGGCCGGCCGGCTTGCTCCTACAGGCCTCTGTGTGTGTGTGTGTGTGTGTCGATAAAGTTCACCAAGGAGGAAATGTGTTTCAGACAGACAGCCACACACAGCCACAGGATCGAGTCAGCTCAAAAAGCTCAGTCCGTCACAGACAAACACACACTCCAGTCCAGTCGACCTCCACTATTGACTGTCTGTTTCCACTATTAGTCTGCCTATCCAAGTCGTCTAGTGCTTCAGTTAGGTGGAAAAACCACTGGCCAGGAGATCTCCATGGACAACAACACTGGTGTTAACAGTGACTGTGTGTCTGTCAGTGTGTTGAAATCATCAATGTCCTCCCCATCCTGGCCTAAAATTAACAACGCCAAATGCAGGTAGATTTTGGCATTGGTGGGTAAGATGTCTATTTCACCAGCCACATTGGCGGGTGGTCAGGGCTCCACAGTGCAAGCATTTCACTCGCATTTGTGAATACAAATAGTCAAGTATGATCACATTTATAGTAAAATAAATGCTGCAGTAGCTGTTTTCAAAGTATTTCCGCCATTTTGTTTCATAGCTGGTAAATTAAATTCAACAAAATCAAAGAACAATGAATCCTATATAGCCTATCCCACCTCACGCTGCAACACTGCCTGGCTGGGGGCTGTGCACACGTGAAGAGCTAAATGAAAGATTCATTTTTAGAAGCGCTGGGCACAGGCATAAAAGTTGGTCTAATTTACTTGAAACGAAAGCCTACTGAAGTGAGACTTTGTCCTTGTGTTTCTTGGCTATTTACATTGTTTTGTTTACAAGCTATGTTGTTTTTCTGTTTGAGTTTTAACTGCTAGGGAAGAGAAGAAAACTCTTCTACTAGTCAGACCCAATCTCACAGGCACAAACATGACTCGAGTCACGCTACCATGGTAACCTCCCGCCCTTAAAGGGGCAGGTGAAATTTGTCTAATCTGTGTTATTTTGGTTAAATCAGGTCACACATTTGTTATTATTCATTATAAACTGGGTGGTTCGAGCCCTGAATGCTGATTGGCTGACAGCCGTGGTATATCAGACAGTATACCATGGGTATGACAAAACATTTATTTTTACTGCTCTAATCACTTTGGTAACCAGTTTATAATAGCAATAAGGCACCTCGGGGGTTTGTGATATATGGCCAATATACCATGGCTAAGGGCTGTGTCCAGGCAGTCCACGTAGCGTCGTGCCTAAGAACAGCCCTTAGCCGTGGTATATTGGCCATATACCACATCCCCTCTGGCCTTATTGCTTAAATATACCACATTAGTTAGTTCTTACTAGTAATACATTTATTGTTTTAGAAACATTACAAAGCATGCTCATCTGTTTTTTCATGTTTTGTTGGTGTAATTTCGATGAATAAAAAATATTTTGGCTGGTAAAAAATCAGAGTGGCTGGTAGATTTTTTTATCTACTTGCCACAGCGGCTGGTGGATCAAAAAGTGAATTGTATGCCCTGCTCCCCATCCCTTCCCATTTTCCCCACCGCTCGGCACTCACAGGGCTTCAGGACGCACATTGTCTCAGGAACTTCAGGAGAAGTCATCAGGAACGCGTCTGTGTGTGTATGTGGGGCCAGAGACGTGTGTCTCATAAACATGACAAATGTATGTGCCTCGCATACACAGTTGCGGTGAGACTTACCTGGGACATCGATGAATCTCTTGTACACGTTTAAGAAGGCAGCCTCTGACTCCTTACTTCTTTTACTCACTGCGTCGATCTGAAAGGAGAGATGGAGAGATTGATTAAGAAAAGAGAGAGAAGGGGGGAAGGGGGTCAAGAGGAGATGATACATTTTTTTCCAGAGAACAACACAATAACCATAATCACATTTTTGGGATTATAAAGGCTTTTATACCTTGGCATCATCTTCCCTATACTATTCATTCCATCAAGATTAATCTAGTTTTATAGGACAAATAGTCACATATCCAATGTAGTTCAACATGAATCTGGTTTATATAGAAATCTATTAATTCTTAACAGCTTCAGCTACAGATCTATTAGTGCTACGATATCCACACAGGTCTATTGACCAGTCTTAAAATCACATGAATTGTAGTTTCATTAATGTAATTTAGTAACAACCTGCTAAAAGAGATTGAGCTTCCAACCCTCTCAGTTAATCATGAATACTGAGTGTTTCTCTGCTGTGGGCTGGGCAGACAGCTCTCCTAAAACTGGAAAGCACCAAGGCAGCTAAACAATGAGTCATGAAGGGGGTGATGTGATTTGGGGTTTGGCCAAGAGGCACCACAGACCTTGCTTTGAAGTTCATCAACAATCAAGTATAGGAGTGAAGTGCTGTGGTAGGGAGGTATTTTTCTATAGTCATGACATTTCTGTAGTATGCAGGTGTTATGATACAGCATTGCTTTTACATTAACTACACTATACTGCATGTGGCTCAAAAATCAAAGATTTATGATTTAAAGAGGTTTCATAAACTGCTATTTTTAGCTCCAAACCCACACTATACATCACAAATACCCGCCCATGAAGCATAGCATTACAGACGTCGCAAATGTACTTCATGAATCACGATAGAACACATCATCAACAGTCTGTGTGGCTCAACATCCATTCCAGATTGCCTCTCAAATACCGTCTAAAAGATTAAAGTAAACACACTTTGGAGATACGTCACAGACAGAGTCAAATACTGTACCATATTCCTCCTTGGCCCTTGGAGAGGTAGGGAGAGGAGGAAAAATACAGGCCACAGATGACTCTTCCCTGAACCCTCTCTCGCCCTCAGTTCCACACTGGGCAACAGATGGCAAAAGAGGAGAAAGGGTTTTGTCCAACCCTTTTTAAATTGCATGATTGGTGGATGGTTGGTTATACACCATCTTTGGGTCATACGACAGAAGTAATGCATCGGCCCTCTCACACTATTATAATCCCCCCTCACGCTTTGATGCATTTTTGATCAGCTTTCAGTCACATGGAAGCAGCTATATTAGTGGTGAGTACTCTATGTACACCATCACACACCCTTTTATATGATCTATTGCGCACGCACACACACACACACACACACACACACAAGCATGCGAAAGCCTAAAAGCCAAAGCTATAATAATAATAATAATAATAATAATAATAATAATATGCCATTTAGCAGACGCTTTTATCCAAAGCGACTTAGTCATGCGTGCATACATATTTTTATTTTTTATTTTTTTTAATTGTGTATGGGTGGTCCCGGGGATCGAACCCACTACCTTGGCGCTACAAGCGCCGTGCTCTACCAGCTGAGCTACAGAGGAGCTGTGCTCTATACATTAAACCACCTTGCTATCATGCGCTGTCAATAAAATAATTTCCTATGTAAGGCATTTGGATCTAATAACACTCTTCGGAGAAAAATAATACAGTTTAAACTTTATTCAACAAGATTTCAACAAGATAAAAGACGTATTGGTCGTCAAATTGACCGACTGTACTGTTCTTCCTTTTCAAGATACTCACCATTTGGCCTCAGTAAACAACCATAGTAAAGCACTTTTTTTTAATACACTTGCTGACTTCTACCTGTAGTGTATAAGAGTAAGAAAGGTGTCCAATTGGCCTAGCTATGTGAGCTAATGATAGACAGTGGGCCCGCCCACTGTAGGGTTCAGAGTCTTCATGTGTGTGGCTGTTGTTGAGGTTGCACCGAGCAGCCCAGAGGCAGCGTGTATGTGTGTTATGTGTCTGTGGTGTCTCCTGAGAGCCCAGTCCAGGCCTTAGCCTTGTTGCTGAGTGTGCGCTCCTCCACTGCTCTGAGAGTGTGAGCAGCCAGCCAGCCAGTCCTGGCATCGTCTCTGAACTGGGCCAAAGCCAGCTAACTGGGTCATCCCTGGGTAGAGGAGGGGATGGGAGGAGGAGGGGAGGGAGGAAGCAGGGGAGGGGGGAGTAGAGAGCTACTGTACATCCTGTAACACACTGCTAGTGTCAGTCAGCCAGGATCTACTTCAAGTGTTTTTTGGACTAAACGCACACACACTTAGACCAACCAAAGAGGAAAGAAGTTCTGTTTGTTCCATCCACCTCCCCCCAACACGCACGCACGCACATACATACCACCTCCCCACAACACACACACACACACACATACATACCACCTCCCCACAACACACACACACACACACATACATACATACCACCTCCCCACAACACACACACATACATACCACCTCCCCCCAACATTTACAGTTTCCTTCCCAACCCATAGGGTGGCAGTGTTTGCTCAAATTCACAAAAAGATGTGGCACAGTACAACTGCAAGTCAGCAACATACACACTAGGTTAAAAGCGTCCAGAACTAGTGTTTACAGACACCAAACAGTGGGTTCCAAAAAGGAGAAATCATATAAAAACAGTATTTTGGACGTCTCCTGCCCAGACTCTGTTAGAGGTTTTGATTTATGGAGCGAGGCAGGCAGTTGCCACTGACAAACGCCAGTGAGCCCCAGTCACTTTTGGCTCCTAGGGGAGAGAGAAATTAAACATGTTCAAATGGGCTTTTGCTGGAAAACATCTGGATCCAAACTAGGCAGGGCCAAGTTCCCCCTCCCTCCCTCCCCTTCTCCCCTTCTCTTCTCTCCTCTCGCTCTCTCTCTCTCTCTCTCTCTCTATCGCAGATGGAGCAATTAAAGTTCCATGCTTACTGGGCAAAGGGATCCACCAGACATCTTGTCAGGAAAAGGTTGTTTCCCTCTTTGGCTTTCCATTGAAAGTGAAGGGAAAGGGGGAGAAGGTGAAGTGGGATAGATAGTGACGGGGGGTTGAGGGAGGGAGGGAGAGGTACGGTAATGAAATGGATGTGTGTGTGTGTGTGTGTGTGTGTGTGTGTGTGTGTGTGTGTGTGCCAAGGCCCTGCGTGACTGTGCAGCCATGGCTCAGTGCAGATTATCTGCCTCTCTCTCCAATGCAGCCCCATACACATTCTGACAGGGGAGGGCATCTGGCAACGCCGGCCGTGCTGCCTTCTGAATGATCACACACACACACATAAACACACATACAAAGACACACACAGATGACTCCTGTGTGTGTGTGTGTGTGTGTGTTAGTCCGTTTGCGTGTTAGAAAGGCGAGATTTGGGCCGACGCCAAACCTGACCAGCTCACAGGTATAGCATAACGCCCCTCTAATGAACCATCTGGACTCTTTAGGGGTGCGGGAACAACTTAAAATTAGACGGTGGTTGCTAGCCTAATGACGCTAGTGGGAGCTAGATGAAACACAAGGAAGGCTTTGGCATGGGTTTAGGGGCCAGGGGACACCGTCGCCTGCTTGTCTCTGTCTGTGACCTGGCCTAACCCCTTAATTGCAGAGCAGCTTTTAAGCTGTGGATAACTGATCCGGAGTGGTGTGCGTGTGCGGGGCAGAGATTGCGGGGAGAGCGAGAGAGAGGTGTGTGTGTGTTTGAGTGTGCTTCTTTTTGGGCTGGGTAGGAGGGATTACTGGCTTTGCAGCTTTCTTTTAAGCAGGGAATTATAGTGATGGTGACTTAGAGCATTGGGCATCCTCTGGGCTTCCTAGGGAAACAGGAAACAGCTAGCTAGCTCCCTCTCTTCATCTCTGTGTCACCTGGGGTTGTCATATGGGGGCCTACTTGCAGGTAGCTACAGTAGTATGGATATATAGTTCTACTCATCGCTGTAGCCTTACATTAGAGAAGTAGGTTGATGTTCCTCTAACCACTGGTCCAGGGTCAGATGTTTTTCTCATCCCCCTAATGGTGGAGGTGAGGATTGGGTGTTGAGTAATCTGATCCTGATGCCATCATCACAGTCACCCCCTCTCTCTGTGTACCATGGGGGCGGGAGGCACTGGAGAGAGGCTAGCTTAAATCATATACAGAAGGAGGGACATCTTATTCAAGGATACGGTAGAGAGGAGTGGGTTCGAGGACAGGGGCGGGTATGCCTTTACACAATCACACACATATTGTATGTGCAATTCACACAAAATCCTTTTGAAAACACACTTTTAATAACCTGATATGTTGAGGCCCATCCCAGTCTCCCCTTTTTACTGTATGCCTATGCTAACACACACACACACACACACAGTCTGAGAGTTGAGCTAATCCCAGCGCTGTGCGAGCTGCCAACTTGACTTTCACAGCCTTCTCCCTGGGCTCCCGGTGCCCTTACGACGAGACAGACATCCAAAATTACACCGCAATTATGCAAAATCAGTAGTGACTTCCTGCATTTGTCCCACTCCTATGCCACTTTGTACGTGTCTCTCTGCCACAGCCATCACGTCTCCTGAAGGTCTCTCTGTAGCATTCGGTTGCCTGACTAGGCTTGGTGGGGTTTGAATGTGTCACACTGATTCTGTGTGCCCTTAAATAAAATAATAGCCTACACTGCGTACTAACGATTTACTCACATTTAAATCTCATTCATTATCAGGGTTGGGGAGTAACAGATTACATGTAAGGTATTACAAAATAACTAACTGTAATCTGTTACGTTACCAGCTAAAATAGTCATCAGATTACAGATACTTTTGAAAAACTAGATGATTACTTTGAAATTCAGAAAGGATGTTTGCAAAAAAATATTTTGACACCTTTCTGTTTTCTCAATATCATTCAAAACAGCATTGAAAAAGGCGCAAGTTTAAGCTTGGTCCACCTGAGCGAGTCTGATCACAAATCAGAGACCACTATGATGACACACCAAATGCATTTGATGGATCGCGGGAAAAGAGCAGGAA